CATGAAACATCACATCAGACCCTGTCTTGCTAAAAATCCTGATACAGTGATTCTACACGTCGGCACTAACGATATGGCACAGAAAAATGCGAAAGAAATTGCGAAAGGAGTCGTTGAAATTGGTAATATCATCCAGAACCAAAGTCCCAACACCAAAGTCGTCATATCTGAGCTGATCACAAGGACGGACACACCAGAAAACAGAAGAAAAGTGGCTGAGGTAAATGCTGTTCTTTTAACTAATTGTAAGAAGAACAAATGGGGTCATATAACCCATGCAAATATCCAAGCAAAACATATCAATCCATATGGTATCCATCTCAATAAAGCAGGAACACCAATGTTAGCTAAGAATATTATAAGTTTTTTGAATGAGCAAAATTGAAGGAGGGATATGATCTGGAATGGAAATATAGATTCTGACAATTGTGTATCAAATTTGAATGCTACTAATTTAAAACCACTAAAACTAAAAGGATTCACAATTGCCCATTTGAATATTAGAAGTCTAGTAAAAAACATAGATCAATTTCGACTTTATCTCCAAAAACAACAATTTGATGTTATATGTATTAATGAAACTCGACTTGATGCTACGGTTCTTAATCACGAAGTTGGAATAAATGGTTATGAAATCGTAAGGAAAGATAGAAACCGAAACGGTGGGGGAGTTGCTATTTACTTAAGAAATTCTATTAATTATAAAGTAAAAGAAGAGCTAATTAATGTCTTGCGATCTTGAAATAATTACAATTGAAATCTCTAAACCTAAATCAAAATCCTTCTTGGTAAGTTGTTGGTATAGACCACCTGATTCCTCGGTAGAAATTTTTAATAACTACGAGGAAATCGTTAAGAAAATGGACTCTGAAAATAAGGAAGTAATACTGATTGGAGACTTCAACTGTGACTGGTCTCGGATTGTAACCAATAATACTAACTCACAAACAAAGAAACTTGAAGAACTTACTAAAACTTTACAATTTGAACAATTAATTAAAGAGCCTACGCGGGTAACTGAGAGCTCTAAGACACAAATCGATCTAGCTTTCACAAATAAACCAGAAATTGTTGTTAACACCGGTGTGGTTCACTTAGGAATTAGCGATCATAGTCTTATTTTTATTCAAAGAAAAATTTCAATACAACGAAAAGCGCCCAAAATAATTAAAACAAGGCAATTTAAAAATTACAATGTCGGCGATTTCAAACAAGATCTGGGAATTAGTATGCAAACAATTTCTATAACTAATGACCCAAATGAAATGTGGGATGAATGGAAACACATATTTCTTACGTTGGCAGATAGGCATGCACCACCGATTACTAAAAAAGTAAGAAGTGAATATGCTCCATGGATTACCAGTGAAATTAAAAATATGATGCACCGTAGGGACTTCTTGAAAAGAAAGGCAGTAAAAACTGGATCTAAACAATTTCATGACGCTTTTATCAAAGCACGAAATGAGCTTAACAAATTGATTAAAAGAACAAAGACAGACTATTTTACAAATACTCTTAACAACTGTGAAAACAATCCAAAACAGATGTGGAAAACAATTAATAAGCTTACCAATAAAAATTCGAAAACGACTATTAAGATAACGACTAAGCCAAAGTGCTACAGATGTCTCTTCTATAACAAATATCTTTAATACATATTTCAATGAAATCGGAATGAATTTAGCCAGCAACATGGAGCAATCTACAAGGTCACCCGAGACATATCTTTCGAGCTGCAATTCACAATTTCAGATACAGAATGCTACTGTAATAGAAGTTCATAAAATACTGTCCTCTATTAACGTTTCTAAGTCAACGATGGAGTTTCTAAGTCAACGATGGAATATCTAATAAACTTCTAAAAGATTCAGCTGATATAGTATCTTACTCTCTTTCATTAATATTCAACACATCCATAAATACAGGTATATTCCCAAACGATTTCAAAACAGCAATAATCTCACCAATACATAAAGCAGGATGCAAAACTGAATGCAATAACTATAGGCCAATCTCAATCCTATCTAGCGTTGCCAAAATTTTCGAAAAACTTATTACCCAACAACTGGAAACTTATCTTGAAACGAATGGGTTACTTGTACAGCAACAAGCTGGTTTTAGAAAGAAACACTGTACGCAGACTTCTCTCCTTAGCATTACAAATCAATGGTTTATTAACATGGATAAGGGAAATTTGAATGGTGTTATCTTTCTTGACTTAAAAAAAGCATTCGATTGTGTTGATCATAGTATTCTATTAAGAAAACTTTATAATTATGGCATAAGAGGAAAATCATTTCAATGGTTCCAGTCCTATCTCTCCGATAGAGTACAAATGTGTAAAGTTAACCAAACATTATCTAACAAAAGAATCGTTAAATGTGGTGTGCCACAGGGCTCAAATCTTGGCCCATTATTGTTTTTATTATATATAAACGATCTTCCAAATTGCTTGTCTTCATCGGCTGCTAGCATGTTTGCCGATGATACAAATATTTCTACACATGGCTCATCAGCGGCAGAAATTCAGGAACAACTAAACCATGACTTAGACAACATACACCAATGGTTGCTGGCTAATAAGCTTGCTCTGAATAAAGAAAAGACCGAATATATGGTAATTGGGTCTAGACAAAGATTATCTAAAGTATTAAATGAGCCGGAAATCCACGTAGGCGAAACAACAATTAAACGAGTAAGCTATTCTAAAACTCTAGGCGTTGTTATAGATGAGAATCTTACTTGGGAAAGGCAAATCGAAAACATACAGACTAAAATCTCAAAAGGTATCGGCATGTTACGGCGAATGAAAAAAATAATTCCTAAAACAACATTGAAAAAAGTATATAATGCCATTATATTACCACATTTCGACTACTGCAGCCTTGTTTGGGATAATTGTAGTGATTATTTAATTGACAAACTTCAAAAACTGCAAAACAGAGCGGCACGTGTAATCACTGGCAGAACATACGAAACAAGATCACGCAATGTTTTAAAAGAACTACATTGGCAACCCTTGAAAGAACGCCTTAAGCACAAAAAACTATTTTTTATGCATAAAGTAAGGAATAATGAACTGCCAATTAGTATGATGAATATGTTTGATATTAAAACAAACTCGCGGTATAACCTCCGTAGCAACAATCGAGATTTCACCCTCGACAAACCAAGTACAAATTTTTTGAAGAAAAGCATAAGCTATACAGCCTCTTCGGCCTGGAATAATTTGCCTCTTGAGGCTAAAGGTTCAGGAATTACTAGTCAGAAATTCAAGTCCATTCTTGATCATTATTCCTCGCGTTAAAGTGTATGCACTTAACCTAAATTTAAGTAGTGCATTCGTTTGTAAGGGGGAGGGGGGGGGGGAGGCGGTAGGGTTAATCGTTTTATATTGTTATATATGCATGCCTGTCGTTCTACTTATCTGTATTGTATTGTATATTTATATTATGTAATATTTTTAACCAAACGGCCTCTTGAAAAACAGGTGCGCAAGTGCCCTGAAGAGCTACCGTTTCTAAATAAGATTAAATTACAAATTACAAATTATAACTTGACGCTGGACAAACGGACAAATGTGAACGACATTCTAGTTTTAATAACAGTTCTGTCTGTACATTATAGTTTTAAATAACTACAGCACTCCAGTCAAGACGTCAAAAAGTAAACATTAACCTAGACAATAGCTCAACAAGTGACAAGCTTCACTAAAACTTTTGGAATATTAACTATTTTGGGTTGTTCATCTGTCAATTGAAAAACTACGTTCATACAAACTCGAATAACTCGGAATAATGAACGTGACAACCTAAAAAGTAGAAATAATTATAGTCTATATACATATGCAAGAAGTAGTTCATGCAAGAAAATAAACCAAAAGTGACTGTCGATAAATTTATTGTATAAACCGTTCTTTAACTGAACCATACAAAGATATTTTTCGTAGGTTCATAAGTTCGGTATTTGACAGTTCTTCAAGAAATGTTACACGCCTCCTGTTCTTAATTTAAACGGTAATTTTTAATTTAAATTCTGTTTCTTTTTAGATTTTTACTGTAATGTTAGAAAACGTTTTATTAATATCTAGACTACCCGTCTAATGTATTTTTTTGTTTGTTTCAATTACCTTAAATAATTAAATAGCAATGTTTTTAAAAGTTCACAATTTGGCATGAGCAGATGTTTCCCCGCGGTGTTCGTTTCCACCATTTCCAGCGAAATAAAAACCAATTTCTGCAATTTCCGCTTATTACGATAGTATTCATAGGTGTTGTGATAATTGTAAACCCAGGGCTGCAAGATTACTACCCTGGTTCCAGAGGTTTAAAATAAACCTCTGGTTGAAAGCGGCAATTGATTCATCGAGCCGCGCCAATCAGTTTGAATTAGGGTCAGATCCTGACTCTGTCTCCTGATTGGATGATTGTATTAAAGCTCTCCGATTGGTTATATATGTTTTATTTGAATCAATCAGATAACTTTAATACAATCATCCAGTCAGGAGACAGAGTCAGGGTCTGACCCTAATTCAAACTGATTGGCGCGGGTCGATGAATCAATTGCCGCTTTCAACCAGAGGTTTATTTTTTCTCTCCCCTTCGCAATGAAAATAATAAAAATAAAGCTCTGGAACCAGGGTACAAGATTACCATTAGTAATTATTAGTAATTCCAATTACAATTACTTGCTTTAAAATGTAATAAATTCCTGATTACAATTACTTGTTATAAAATGTAATTAAGTACAATGAAAAAATTACTGCGGAAAAAAGGAATTAATTACAAATTCCTTTAGCGGCAAATTGTTACTATATATATTATAATATCTTAAACAGTAGTTGTAAATAAAAACGGCATAAACTATGAAATTTGCAAGAATTTATCAAAATGATATTTCAATATATTAAAAATTTTACATGCAAATCGAAGCATGTAAACTCTTGAAACTTTAAATGCCAATATTTGGCGCTCTGAGCCTCGGAACAAATTATCAGGTTCCACTTTCGCAATAAATTAAATAGTACTTCATGTAGGCTATCATGTCATGTGCAGTGATCTCGTTGAAAATTATTTCAGCCATTTTTCTGAATTTTTGTCGTAACGTTGTATTTTTTATTTCTCACTTTTAACAAAATAAGAAAAGGAATTTTCAACTTGCTCCTTGGAAAAGGAACACGTTCCTTGCTTTTGTAATTAATTACGTTTTTCGTTACATTTCTAAAAACGTAATTAATTAGAGGTTAAAATTACTTCAGATGTAACGAGTACACAGAAACGACGTCACAACGTCAAAATATTTTAAAAAAAGCGAGATAAATTGAATATGAATAAACTGTTACAGTCATTCTTCATCATTGAAGCTGTATTTTTGAGCAAAACA